CCACAGCTCCGAGATGGTCATCTTCCCGCAATGGGAACATGACTCATCCGCGAATGCCACCTCAGCGTGTTTAATGCCCAGACACGTGAGGCAGCAATCGTGAACATCACCCGTTGCCAGGTAACGACCGCATACAGAAATGCATGGCTGAAACGGCATCTTTAAAAAGACAAACCATCGTCTTTACAAAGACGCACCCGTGTAAGCTCTTTTAGAAAAATAGGCTCTTTCAAGGAAATGCTCCTTTAGAAAAGTAGGCTCTTTCAAGGAAATGCTCTTTTAGGTGCTGAAACACACAGGGGAAATGGCCGCTTGCAGCACGACAGGGGGTAGTGCAGCCTGATGTGCGCAACCCACTCAACACAGGAATGACCACCGCTGAAGTGCCATCCGCCAACACAAGAAGCTCCCTAGAGTGCGCTAGACTCGTCACACAAGAAGCTCCCTAGAGTGCGCTAGACTCGTCACACACGAAGCAGTTTGTTAGGAGCAGAACGATGTTGTCACTCGGCTCCGAAGCGAAAAGCTGGTTTGCGTTGCACCGGCTGCCTTTTTATGCTCACGCTGTGATCAGCGGCAGCTGGATGCAATTACCGCATGCCAATGTGCTTTGGCTCGTTTAGCTTACACTCGGAAATGAATTGGTCTCTCTAAGCGAGATCCCAATTCGTCGAGAGTGACCGACTGAAAGGGAACAATCTCAGTTACCAAAAAGTTTGAGCATGCTTGACTGATTTTCAGCTACAAGTACCATTCTGACTCCCAGAGTGCATTGCGTCATGAATAAATTAAGCAGTTGCTTTGTTTTACTATTTTCTGGATTATTCGCCAATTTTATTAGCTGTATTTATTGACAGTATTGCTGCAACAAAGACAGCAAAAATGTTTTGCAATGTTCAGAGTTTTATTATAAAAATTAATTAGATTGTTACCATTGTTGTGTATTGCGTGCTAAATGTTGATATCTGTGTGTGACATAATTAAAGGCACATGCAAGAAGAAATAAATTAACTGTAATATTAGTCTGTCTATGATATGTGTGTTAATAGTTATTTTAGTAGATAAGGACTTTACATTACCACGTCAAATTAGTTTGGTTATGGATCAGTCAGTGCTGTAGTTTAAAGTTAGATCGCACACACACACAAACATTTATATTACTTGTCTTCCTTAGAAAGCACTATTAGCTGTGATTTCTTGTAATACCATTTCCCTGATAGGAAGAAAATTATAGTTGTCACGATCACCAGATAGCAACCAGAGGGCACTCCATCCCATACCTTTGCCACTCTAACATGGACTTCATTCCCCATAATCCTTTGCACACACTCATCAGCACTCATTGTTTGCACCTGTGTCTCGTTAACCCTGTCTGCTCACCTTTTATAAGCCTGGTTCATTTAGTCGTGCATTGCCAAGTCACAGCTGCAGTTCTTAACCATTTATTCTGGTTCTCTCGTGTCTTGTTTTCCTGGTTCTTGATATTCTGCCTGTTTACCTGGATTACTCTGTTTGACTCGGCCCTGAACGTCGGTGTTTGGACTGCTCATTGTGTTTGACCTCATCCCTGTTTTGACCACGAATGTGGATTATCCTTCTAATAAACTTGAATCCTCAGCCGTCATGTCCCCATGCAGCTTTGTGACAATAGTAATACAAGAGACGTGTGCCCAACCAAATGGAACACTAATCACCATCAACCATTTTAGGGAAACAAGCAATTTATGAAGTCTTGTGTGAACAAAATGTTTAGTTGAATTGACAATTTAACAAGATTCAAGATTATTTTGGAAAATAAGTGAATGTGGCTAAAGAGAAAGATAGAAAGAACAATTCTATTAAGATTTGTCCCACCTCAGAAATTCATTTTTTCTTGCTTGACATAATGGTACTTATACTAATCAATTTATCTAACTTGAGTTTTCTTGAGTATCAGAGGCATACAGTAGAATGCAAATAGTACAGATTACTAGATTTTTACAGTTAAGTTGGACATTAAAGTTAACTAAACCATGTTAGTTAGAACATTTGTTAGGTTTTAGTTATTTTTCGTGGTGTCACACAGGTTAACTCTTTTTCTTGATTTTTTTTTTTCTCGTGATATTGTTTATTTTCAGAGATGATTCGTTCGGCCACGCCGTTCCCCCTGGTCAGTTTGTTCTTTATGTTCATTGGTTTTGTGCTCAGCAATATCGGACACATTCGGCCACATCACACCATACTGGCGTTTGTCTCCGGAATCTTCTTCATCCTGTCAGGTACACTTCCTCTTCCTCCTCTGTCTTTCTGACCTGTCTTGTTTGTCAGGCTGATGTTTGTCTGTCTCTCAGGTCTGTCTCTGGTGGTTGGTTTGGTTCTCTACATCTCCAGCATAAATGACGAGATGTTCAACAGGACCAAGAGTAATGAGGCGTATTTCAGCTATAAGTACGGCTGGTCTTTTGCATTCGCTGCCATTTCCTTCCTGCTCACCGAGGTAAAAAGCTCTTTCATTCAGACACTACCATCTACTGTCATTCTTCTCTCACTTTTCTCCATTATTAGGGCATTCGCACCGAATTGAACTTCTATGCGGTTAATACTGCCTGAATGTTTAATGTACTGATTCCATTCAAACGGTGTTTTGCGCATAATTTTAGTCTTTAAAGAAATGTAAGATTAAAGAATGTCAAAGGGTTCAGTGCAATTGAAGCTGTATATATTTGTGAAATGCTGATGATTACCACATGCTATCATTTAATCTTCCTCAGTTTGACACAAAATCTGCAGTAATGACTGTGCTCAGTGCCTTACTGCTCTTTCTGTTGCAGTGGTAGTGTATATACAGTATGTACTGAGCATTACATACCCAGATGAGTACATTTGTCAAAATGAGCAGTATGCAACAGAGCATACCTACTTGAATACTGAACACTGAACCTCCATTTTCAGTGTGATCACAGTCACAATTTTTAACATGTCTTTGATAGGCTCTTAAGAATGTAGGTCTTTCTTGAATCATTTCCCTTGTGAAAAAAAAGAAGTGTGCAGTTAATTGTATTGGGAGTGCACTTTGTAGTGTACTTCAAATCTTAAAAGTATGTTTTTAAATACTGTACTTGCAGATAATTGAATATTACTGAAATAAAAGGCTACTTAAGTTTCTTAACTTTATTTCTTCTTTGTTTCTTAATAGACTTATGTAAGCTTTTAAAAAGTGACCTTTATCACGTAAAAAAGTTTTACTGTAAAGGACAAATTAGTGTTTATATTTGAAGTACTTAATTATAATTGTAACTGTTGTGTGTGTGTGTATGTATATATATATATATATATATATATATATATATATATATATAACTTAACCTTCTGGACTGCTCATTGTGTTTGACCTCATCCCTGTTTTGACCACGAATGTGGATTATCCTTCTAATAAACTTGAATCCTCAGCCGTCATGTCCCCATGCAGCTTTGTGACAATAGTAATACAAGAGACGTGTGCCCAACCAAATGGAACACTAATCACCATCAACCATTTTAGGGAAACAAGCAATTTATGAAGTCTTGTGTGAACAAAAGAATTGACAAAATTGACAATTTAACAAGATTCAAGATTATTTTGGAAAATAAGTGAATGTGGCTAAAGAGAAGAACAATTAGAACAATTCTATTAAGATTTGTCCCACCTCAGAAATTCATTTTTTCTTGCTTGACATAATGGTACTTATACTAATCAATTTATCTAACTTGAGTTTTCTTGAGTATCAGAGGCATACAGTAGAATGCAAATAGTACAGATTACTAGATTTTTACAGTTAAGTTGGACATTAAAGTTAACTAAACCATGTTAGTTAGAACATTTGTTAGGTTTTAGTTATTTTTCGTGGTGTCACACAGGTTAACTCTTTTTCTTGATTTTTTTTTTTCTCGTGATATTGTTTATTTTCAGAGATGATTCGTTCGGCCACGCCGTTCCCCCTGGTCAGTTTGTTCTTTATGTTCATTGGTTTTGTGCTCAGCAATATCGGACACATTCGGCCACATCACACCATACTGGCGTTTGTCTCCGGAATCTTCTTCATCCTGTCAGGTACACTTCCTCTTCCTCCTCTGTCTTTCTGACCTGTCTTGTTTGTCAGGCTGATGTTTGTCTGTCTCTCAGGTCTGTCTCTGGTGGTTGGTTTGGTTCTCTACATCTCCAGCATAAATGACGAGATGTTCAACAGGACCAAGAGTAATGAGGCGTATTTCAGCTATAAGTACGGCTGGTCTTTTGCATTCGCTGCCATTTCCTTCCTGCTCACCGAGGTAAAAAGCTCTTTCATTCAGACACTACCATCTACTGTCATTCTTCTCTCACTTTTCTCCATTATTAGGGCATTCGCACCGAATTGAACTTCTATGCGGTTAATACTGCCTGAATGTTTAATGTACTGATTCCATTCAAACGGTGTTTTGCGCATAATTTTAGTCTTTAAAGAAATGTAAGATTAAAGAATGTCAAAGGGTTCAGTGCAATTGAAGCTGTATATATTTGTGAAATGCTGATGATTACCACATGTTATCATTTAATCTTCCTCAGTTTGACACAAAATCTGCAGTAATGACTGTGCTCAGTGCCTTACTGCTCTTTCTGTTGCAGTGGTAGTGTATATACAGTATGTACTGAGCATTACATACCCAGATGAGTACATTTGTCAAAATGAGCAGTATGCAACAGAGCATACCTACTTGAATACTGAACACTGAACCTCCATTTTCAGTGTGATCACAGTCACAATTTTTAACATGTCTTTGATAGGCTCTTAAGAATGTAGGTCTTTCTTGAATCATTTCCCTTGTGAAAAAAAAGAAGTGTGCAGTTAATTGTATTGGGAGTGCACTTTGTAGTGTACTTCAAATCTTAAAAGTATGTTTTTAAATACTGTACTTGCAGATAATTGAATATTACTGAAATAAAAGGCTACTTAAGTTTCTTAACTTTATTTCTTCTTTGTTTCTTAATAGACTTATGTAAGCTTTTAAAAAGTGACCTTTATCACGTAAAAAAGTTTTACTGTAAAGGACAAATTAGTGTTTATATTTGAAGTACTTAATTATAATTGTAACTGTTGTGTGTGTGTGTATGTATATATATATATATATATAACTTAACCTTCATCGTTAGAAATATTTAATGAAAAATGTATTTAAATACTTGACATACAAGTTTCAATAGAGATTATATTAAATTTTAGTTTACCATAAATGCTTGTCAGTACATTCAGCAGTATAGCCATATTTAAAACACAGTAAAGCAATTCTGAAACTACTTAAGCATCAAGCACTCAACTAAGTTCAACTACAATATAAATGTAAACTATAATACTATATTTCTAATACTATAAACTATATTTCATTTAATTGCAAATAACATTCAGTTAAGAGTCTGAAAACATTACATTCAGTCCAGGACAGTGTATTCTTTTAAATCATATAAATATAGCCATTATAAATAATCTTTTTAAATGTATGTTCAAGTGTACTTTTTTCAGAAGGTTTAATTGAACTAAAGACTGAACTAAGATTTCACAAAACTGAAAACAAAAAAGCAAAACAGTTTTATTTCCAAGATAATGATTAGAAGCCACATGCTGATTTAAGCATGCAATGTGATGAGATCATGTGACAAACTACATTAGGTCATGCAACAACAATGCAGCATGCATGCCATTTCATAATTATGGTAATTACTAGATGACAACCTGGGACGATTTAGCTGTTCACATCCTCAAACTTGGAATTATGCGACCCAATACTACCGTTTGAAACGTTTATTGTGGAATAATGCCTGTTTCACTTACTGTTGTAACATACTGTAAGTTCTGAATCTTGGTTGATTGTGCTAAACTTATGTATTGCATATGCAACATTCCTTTGATGTTTGAAAATCTCCCTCTGACCTACACAGTTGACTCACGTCATCCTTGCTCAGTGCATTGCGTGTTAGCCCAGACTCTTGTTAGCTCTTTTGTTTGCTTTCACTATTGTATTTTCACTGCTTTCCTTTGAAACCTTTTAAAAGTGCACTTGTGTGAGCCTATCTGCAATGATTTTCATCTCAATGTCAAATGGCACTTGGCACCCCATAGTGAATTTCTTGCCATTTATTTCTTAATTAACCCTTGTGCGAGCTTTTGGACATTTTTGTCCTTTTCAGTTTTTTTTTTTTTCATTTTGCCTGTGTTATTGCCAACTGCAGTGCATACATTTTGGCACAGGTGTGTATTTTTATTGGAATTTTACTATTTCACTTCCATTTCCTTTAATAAATCTGTTTTGCACTAGATACAAAAAATTGTTCCTCTCAGGACCTTAAGGACAAAAATGTCCCCATTGAAACCCATTAAAACTGTTATTTTTAATCGCAGTGCCATTTAACTGTAAAATTATGCAATTTTTGTTGATAGGCTTTCATTATATTGGCACTATTTTTACCCTATTTTTGGCCTTCCACTATACTATTTTTTACCAGATGGTGCCATTTTTTTCAGGTTTGACCTATAAAGAAAATACTCGCTTTATTTCTGTTTTCTGCTTCTGCATATTATAGAGCCAATTGGATAAATAATGCAGCTATAATTGTGTGGGTGTGTTGGTATGGATGTCAGAGTGTGATTTGTATGTGTGTCATAAAAAAAAAAAATCGTGTGTGTGTGCATGTGTGTTTGAGAGAGAAAAACTCTACTGCAAATCACAAATCCAACCACTGTGTGCACCAGCAGAGTTTTGCTGGCATCTAATGGGGAAAATTTCAAACAAAATCGTACTGAAAGCTCATTTTTTGAGATATCAACCTCAAATTTGGAACACAACTTGTTTAGATTTATGCCTTTGATTTTCTAGAGAGAGAAACTCTACTGCAAATCACAAATCCAACCACTGTGTGCACCAGCAGAGTTTTGCTGACATCTAATGGGGAAAATTTGGTACTGCGCCCAAACAAAATCTTACTGAAAGCTCATTTTTTGAGATATCAACCTCAAATTTGGAATACAACTTGTTTAGATTTATGGCTTTGATTTTCTAGCAGGTATAGAGTTCAACATGTTTCATAAAATATATATTTTATGTAAAACATCGTTCATAAATCATTTTCATAAACCTAAACATCTACAACTTTTTTTTTGGTTTCACTTTTTAAACTTTTTTTACTTCAACAATATAATCTGCCATGGGTCTTCTTTAAAATGAGACCAAACTTAACTCTGTGCTCCCAAGCTTCAAATTTTTATGACAGTTTTTTGACATGGACATTTTTGTCCACTATGGACCTATGTGTAACTTTTTTTAATTGACGCACAAGGGTTAAACACTTTTATTGCATATAGATATTAGTCTCTCTCTCTCTCCTTCTGTCTATATTTCGTACAAAGTTTCTAAATACATTTTTACCTTTTTACATAAACCATCAGTCATCATTAGTCATAATCAAAACTATCTTTTCTGTTCTTGCCTAGTATTTCCTTCAGGAAATGTTTTCTTCTCTCTGTTCAGAGTGCAGGTGTGATGTCTGTCTACCTGTTCATGAAGCGTTACACAGCGGAGGAAATCTACCAGCCCCACCCCAGCTTCTACCGGCCGCGCCTGAGCAACTGCTCCGATTACTCGGGTCAGTTCCTTCAGCCCAACGCCTGGACGCGGGGACGCAGCCCGTCAGACATCTCCAGCGACACCTCACTCCAGATGAACGCCAGCTACCCTGCCCTGCTCAAGTGCCCTGACTACACCCAGGTGTCTTCCTCTCCCTGCTGAAGCACAGGAAATGAGTTCAGTGTTCATCAGAACTGAGTTTTAAACATATATGTGTGTCTTTGCCTTATGATAGGGAACAGACTGATAGAATGTAGGATTGTAATTTTCCTGTTCTGTAGTGAGCGTGAACTGATGACTTTGTTCCAGCAGGTGACAGTATAGTATTCTTCTCCGGAGTGATTCACACACTAAGATGTATAATCATTGAAGTTTAATGTACAACTGAGTGTCGATCCATGTAAATATGTATGGTGCTTATACAAATATGAATTGTAGCCGTTATGGAACACTAGCCTTCAACTAGATCAATATGCTTTCAAGAATAGCCTAAATTTATTTGTAATGTGTATTATATATGTATTGTGATTATAATATCTATTCATATCAAATTGTATTCTTATAGAGGTTGTTCTGACAAAATTATTAGTAAATAAGTGCAGAAATTGTCTTTATATCTATAGAACAAAATGAACATGCAATTTACATATAATGGATAAAGTACAACGGAACAAATGTACCATGAATCTCACTAGGATCGTGTATTATTGCACAGCTGAAATGAAGCGTATCAAAAGTAGAACAACTGTAAAAATCAAACTGCCAATCTTTTAAATATTTGTGATGAGATTGTAATATTATATAGTTGTCCACAGCTTACTTAAATTTAAATTAATTTCTTTTCTGCCATTAATATAAAACGGACCAAACTGAAACCGTTCTTTGTAAACATTCAACATTTCTTTGGTTCATCCATGTTTGATAAAACATAACACAGTACAGTATACATATATTACAAACGTTGCTTTTCTCATGTTTATTTTTATGTAAGGCATGTATCTGAAATGTTGTTTTGTGTTTTTTCATAGCTATGATGACGCTTTTTACATTAACATTTTGTATTGCATTTACAGTGCAATGGATATAATCTATACATGTTACAAACCTTTCCTGGTTTTGCTTAATTCTTCAGTGGCCATCCTTTTATTACTGTAGATTCCAGCTCCGCTTACTCTTGGCTCCTCAAAACCAGCTTTTCACTGTTCATATCACTTAAATACACTGAAACTATTCGATTTAATACTCAGAATGTGATTTAGTGCGATTTCAAAAAAGTAGCGTGTTCATTCTATGATCAAAGTTGGATCATATAGCTCTGTGTGATGTGTGAGGGGAGGACAAATCACTCATGAAACGTTTACCTTTATGAATGTTTTATGTATTCATATTTCATGTACAGTTTGACCAATAGCTTATACAGACATATAAAAATTAATCTGGAGCCCCAAAGGGCATTGGAGATAGTATTCTGCCCTTGGACAGGGCTGTTATTTTACAACCACATATAAAAAGACAAAACAAAACAAAATTCATTTTCCAGAATTGCAAGGTGTTTTTCCCTGACAGAAGTACATTAGTTTAAGGCTGCTGAGCAAAGAGCCCTAACATTAAAAAGCCAGTAGATTTATATGCTACAGATTGTACTTACACAAAAAAAAGACAAATGTTTACAGTATTTACACATAACTTAGATCTATAGTTTTCCAATTATGAGTACAATAAAATCATTTCACGAAGAAAATAAATATAAAAAGATATTCAACTATACTTGTCATAAGAACACAAAAGCAAGCAAATTCATTCAAATTACATCAACACATCATAGATAGTGTTATCTAAGACCAGAACGGAAAGGTTAGAAACTAAATTTATGTGTTCTATATTTGCTCTTTCTAAAGGCCCGTTCACACCAAGCACGATAACTATAAAGATAACGATAAAGATATAGTTCTAAAAATCGTTCTCAATATTAAAGAATAGCATAGTTCACACCACAACTATAACGATAACGATACAGAGGAACGATATCGTTGTGATCACTTTCAAAACGATTTTTTTCCCAGCTGATGAACGATAAAACACTGACAGCCAATCAGAATCCATCCTGCTATGACGAGCGCAAGAATTTAAAGCGGTAGACGCATGTGCGCTTTAGAATAAACAGACGATATTGTTCGCTGGTGTGGACGCTAATATTATTATCTTTATAGTTATCGTTCTTGGTGTGAACGGGGATTTACTCTAACAACATGAAATCAGTCCAGCTGACTCCAGACTGCCACCTAGTGTTGGCATTGGATCATTAATGTCGATTTGAGCTTCTAGTGCTGAGGTCACATGCACGCAGGAAGTCTTCTAGCACCATAAGAGATAACGGCCACGCAGGCTTATTGTCTCAGAGCCCTGTGCGATCAGGTTGCTGTGCGTCGGAATGGGTCTAGTCTCTTGAAATAAATGGCTTTTCTATCCGACATCTCTAGTGAGAGATCATAAACGACTTCCTCTGGGGCCTCGTTTATAAAATACTGCGTAGAAAGCATCCTAAATGTGATTTTACGATCATTTCACAAAGTGCGTACGTGTGATTCATAGAACGAACTGTGCGTACGCCTCTGTTTTAGATGTGAAATCTATAAATAGCAATGATCTTGAAATTGTGCGCAGCTCAACAGTTTCAGAGCTCCACCTTGTAAACGATGTCTAATTAATGTCATTGACTTATAAAAGAGCACCTGACAATGTCCAAATCTTTTACAAGCGGCAAGAACATAGACTGTATAAAAACATGGACGTAGTGTCCGTGACGTCTGTCACTCAAGTGGCCACGCCCTTAATTATGCAGAACTTTAAGGCTTAATGTAAACGGATGAGTTATAAAATAATTCACCCCCCTCACAGTTGTCATGAAGGGCAAAATTAGCTATATAGACCAAAATCATTTTTTGAACCAGGCTGTAAACATGTTTTTTTCTGCTGTAAAGTTGGGCATTTTAACATGGGGAGTCTATGGGATTGACTCCCTTTTGCAGCCAGCCTCTAGCGGCCAGTTGACGAATTACAGTTTAAGTCACTTCCTTGTTGGCCTCACGAGAGAGAGAGAGCGGGAGGTTGCCGCTTGGGCAAGAATGGCTTATATTTCCAAAAACCTGCAGCACTCGGGCAAACAAAAGTGCGTACGTCTGCTCAGACCCTGACGTGGCGCTACGCTCTTTTCCACGTCAAAGACCGTTTTTATAAATATGAACGTTGCCGTGGATTTTTGCGTACGCACACTCTACGATCAAATCTGTGCGTACGCACGTTTTATAAATGAGGCCCCAGGACTCTCGAGTGAGCCGCCCAGGTTTTCACACCAACATCCATGCAAATACAAACAGAGCAGGACAGCTGTGTTTTTGTACGAATAGAAACACAAGAAAGGAACTTTAAACATGAATTCTTCCGCTGCTGGGCCCGTCAAACACACACTCGCACATCGGCTGTCCCAGAAGGCAGTGTGTGTTGCAGGCTTTGGGGAAGCGGTTTGGATGCAGATTTCACTTCTTGTTGGCGATTCGTTTCTTCCTGGTGGCCAGCATGTCATAGAAGGGGTCCCGGCTGATGCTCGCTCTGAAGGAACCAATTAAAGGAGATGTAAGGAGAGGCAGAGAGACTTCGGCATCTTTGATATGGAAATGTAGCACATAATATAGACTACACACCCCTGTCTTAACTGCATCATAGAAAGTAGTTTGTTCAGTGACCCAGTTTGGTTTCCATGGTTTCTGAGGGCAGACCCCGCCCCCGTTTAACCCCGCCTCTCGTTTTTGATGTTCGTTTCTGTCTTGTCCAGTGCAAGCTAAGGCCAGACCTGCTAAGATTAAAGGCTGATCTGCGACCGATATCTAACGTTCCTGTAAGGGTGAGTGCTCTACAAAGAGCTCTATGAAGAGTCACGAATGCTCTGCTGATGTTGCCTCAGTTTTCACGGCTAGAAATCTTGTTAGCACTGCGCATAGTGTGAAACTCATCCTCCACTGCAGGAAGTGCTTCTTTCATTGTGAGGAGACTACAGCTGTGTTAGCTGCCTATGTAGACAGCATTTTAAGGCATCACATGTGCGCTCCAGACACATATAGATGGCAACATTATGCTGCTTTATAAGATACCTTGCCAAAATCTGAGGCGGCATCACATGTATAATTCATTTACTAGGTAATCCCATAATGCACTGTGATAAACTCAGTGTAAATGTACTGTGTTTAGTTTAATGCTATTTATTTTTCATATGTATTACAATATTGTGCTGTTAGCTTAGCAACATGCTAATGTTAAAATCTACTGGAATGAAAAGTGACAAACACTTGTGTTGTGTGTGTGGCATGAGTTGCCTCTTGTGAAAAGAAGTACACTTTAGCATACTTTTAAATCAGTGTGCTTTATTTCCAAGTTAAAAAATACTTTTTAAAGGTAAAACTTTGAATTTAACCCTATTACTTTTTAAATAATGGAATTAGAAACCATGAAGGTGTACTAAATACACTTAAGTGGGCTTTTTATTCATTCATATTATTTTATCTGCAAGTACAGTTCTGTGCAGCTCACTAGGTTTTAGAACTGAGCTATGCTCTTCCTTTTTTGAAACTCTCTCCCTCTCTAAAAAAAAAAGAAAATACTAAACATAGTTGAGTTCTTGGAGATGCAGAGCTGAATGAGTATTCTTTGTATATTTGTTATGCAGAGGCTGCTGAGAAATGTTTAATAATTTCCACACTCTAAGTTCGGAATAGTATAGCATTTCTTTAGTATGTAATATCTGAATCTGAGTTTTTGATTGGACTGTCACAAATCAAAAATTAAAAAAGCAACAATTATATTTTTCCCCCCAAAATTCCAGTAGCCCCTCACTGCAGAACAAAGATCCAGGGGGCGGGGTTGGATCCACATTTAGGGGGTGGAGATGGTAGGTTTAGGGGTGGAGATGGGTGGGTTTAGGGATCAGGGGGGTAGGTCGGGTAGGTTTAGGTATATGTAAGGTGGGAGGAGTTGGATCTGGATCCAACCTCGCCCCCTGTTCTGCAGTGAGGACCATCTCCAAAATTCTAACAGGATGTCACTCACATAAAATATGAGGATGTCATGCCATATTGTTCATGTATTATTTTTTCCATTGCTGTTAGTAGGCTATATAGGATATACTATACGGCTTTAGCAAGTAATTATCTATTTCGAAAATACCCTTAATCTTTCTAAATTTTTCTGCACTAATTCTAGGGAAGCATCTTAAGAATTCTGCTGAATGGATTTTAAATGTGTTCAAATGAAGTTCTACATTCTAAGTTGCGTGGGCTCAGATTCTGCACAGCCATACCCATCAGCTACACTGCCATAACTTATTTCTGCTGAATGACTTAAAACCCATGGGAAGCCCTTGTTTTTGTTCCTGAGACTGCTTCCAAAGCGTGACTGAATGGTCCTCTATCCTGAGCACATAAAGCATGATTACAGATAAGCAGATAAGGATTGTGGGTCATAACTGTGCCGACTAGGCAAAATGTGCTTGTGATAAACCCCCTCTGAGAGGTGAGACACGCTAGTGCTAGGCCTGGATTAGCGGAGAGAACAGGTCTGCAACAGGTCTGTTGGTCCCGCTGGAGTTGATGGCTTGTGGGGTGGTTAAGCTCTGACTAATTTCCACTGATGCCCCATGAAAACACTGGGCTGTGGATGAGGGGGAGGTACAGGGGTTTTGTGATGAGACTGATGTTTCTTTTCAAAACACCATCATGACTAGTGCTGTTAAAATCCATTGATGTCCCAATATGAACCAAACCACAGCTGATAGCTCTGTTCCGGAAAATAGTGAGGTGAAACTCACAAAACATGTCAATAACATGTCTGGGCCTGCGACCATTAAGATTTTTTTGCTGGGTTAAATAAAAATAACATTTTATTAAAGTAATGAGAATCTAATTTGTTATTGTAAAACGGATTTGAAACCAAATGTACTGTATGTTTAATTCTCATAAAAAATAATCTCACAAAGCAAATAAAAATCTTTATGGTCCTAAAAGACCTTTATTTTATTTACACAAATATACAGTTGTTTCTTTTTTTTTTTCTTTTAATTTTTGGAGTGTAAATTATCACTGTACTGAGGCGGTCATGGATGTTTTTTATCGATGCATCAAGAAAACATGCAAACACTTGTAGAAGCAAGCTAAAATGCCATGGTTGCTTCATCAAATGAGTTTTTAACTCAGGTTTGCTTTGGTTAACATTAGGGCTGTCAAAATGGCTGAAAAACTAAATTCGAAATTTGTACTTAAATATTATTAAAATTCGAATTATATTTGAATTTAAAATGCATAATTTCAGTTAGGTTGAAGAAAAGCTTTTGGCTTCTCTCCTGAGGCCACAAGAGGGCGCATCGAGCAAAATATTACTAATGCACGTTTATTCAAAGTGCATAATGTTTAAAATAATGTTTATAAACCAATTATAATTAATTAAGTTGCTTAAACAACTACAAACAAAACAGCATCATGTATGTATGCATAGTTAATACAAAGGACCAAAATCACACAGAGTACATTTACATTTCAGTACATGTCAGTACATTTCATTTAAAAACATGAGTTGCAGTGGGGTGGGAGAAAAAACCCGCCATAAAGTCTCGAGATATGTTTTTTCAAAGTTAAACTTGCATTAATTTTACATGGCTTTCTAAACATGCGGCTCTTTTTTGCAAGATGCGAGTGCAACGGTGATAGATGTCCCTCTAGAAAATGCACGAAATATGTGTTCTGTGTGAACGGCTTGGTTTTAGTTTTGATGTAAACAAGATCTTCTCCACATTGATGTTCTCTTTTTCCGCAATATTTTTAATGAACAA